TTGTGCCATTCGGATTATTGTGTCCTTTTGTGAAGCTGTGAGGACTAAAAGATGGTCCGTAAAGGGAAGAGGACCATGAAACATCGAAATATCGTGAGTTTTCGGGAATTTTTCCCCTAAATTCGAGCCATTTCCAGATGGCGTTATTTCCCCTTTATGGCGGTATCCCTCGCGTGGCCCTCAGCCACGTGTAGTGGCTGATCACCCCTTTTGTCGTATTTAGTGGTTCAGATTTGGCATTTTTTGGGCATAATCCCTTATCCCGGATTTTTATCCGCGTGTCCCTCCGATTTTTTGAATCGGCTATCCCACCCAAATCGGGTCGGTACAGAGTTCTCGCGCCTTCCGGTTTATCCCGTTTATCTTTTGAGATGATTTTCGGGTTCAATTCGGGTGTTTATTTATCGGTGGAATCAATACGTATTTTTCCAGTGTAAATCTGACGATTTTCGACTTGGGCTATTTCTTTCTCTCTCGCCCCTATGGTGAGGAGTATCTCTATTTCCTCCTACGTATAAATTGCGTAGAGTTTTTCCCCTCGCGGCACCCCGCTAACGCGCCAACGAGTGGTGGCTCACGCTTCCCGTAAGTGTTCCCTCGTTCAAATTTCCCTCCGGATGTAAATTAATCTGGAGTGGCTCCCTATGGTCCCAAAATTATAATTTTAGTTTCATGGGCTTCGCTAGATCTTCCCAAGCAAGTTGGCTTTGGGTTTTTGAAAATTGACTCTACCGATTTTCCGTTACGGCGAGTTAAGTATTAGTTAATTTTTATTTCCTCCCGCCGTACGTTATGCGTATACGGGTGGGTTCATTTCCTCGCTCTCTCACTCTCACGGGGATTCACATACCTTTCCCTTCATTTCTCGGTATTCTCGAGTATTTCGAGATTAATCAATATTTTGATATTGCTGGATGAGGAATTTGATGACCTCACTTGTGGTCAAGTTAATCGATAAAATATTACTTTCGGATTATATTAGAAAGCTTCAAATTATCATGTCCAGTTTATTATTTGCCATTTAATCAGTTATTCTTATAAATATTTTTTTTATTATTGGTGAGATCAATGCGAAGAGAAAATCATGTAAATTAACAATTTTTACCAATTTCAATAGTGAAACACGTAAGGACGATGTCGATTTCTTCTTTTTTTTTGTAGTTTTGACCACCCTATACCCGTCTCCACCTGAAATGCACCCCTCTCTCCACAACCTAGCACACTGAGCGAACCAAGGACCGTTACCTTTCCCCAGAAATCTAGTTTTCTCGCTTTTTGAGTACATTTTTAATGTTTTTGGATTAGTTAGAATTGATAATGTAGACTCCTCCGGTTTGATGATTCCGGTTAAAGATCACCTGGCGCCCATAGATTTTTGCATTTTTGAGTTTAATTAGATTCAGGGGAAGAAGGGCGAAGGTAATAGGCATTTTTAACCCCCATGAAAAATGTCACGTTACAATATGTTATAGAGGAGTCAAAACTAAGGGACACGTATTTTTTCTTATCGGTTAATACGCGGATGTTAGGGGGGAAACTGTCCTCTGAAGTAGGCCACTTCTCAGGTTATTTTGTTATTTGCGTATATAAAAAGAATACTCAGACATATATTTTGCCATGCAAAAGGAAGCTTATGATGAATGATGAATATGTGAATTAAAATCATACCCAGGGTTTGAAATGTAGGGGATGAACTACACCCGCGAAAAATTATTTTTACAATTAATAAAAAACTATTGCTCAGAATTTTATCGAACCAATTCCATTCGAAAGAGCATTCAAAAAGACAGAACACCTTTTCTTGCATTTTTTTTACAAATTGCAATTTAATAGAGAAAAAATCAACTTCCAGTAACTGTCCTATCTTTCAATTTTCCGCGGTGTAAATCGAAGCTTGTGTGGGATGAAAGGATTAACAGACAAATCCGTATCCGGTGTGATGAATGTGGGGGGTAAGTAACCTCCTGACAAGTCAGTCTTCGATAAAACAAAAAAACATGGTTTAAAATTTTATGAAATCATTCCTATTTGCACCGTAAGAAAAAGATACGAAGTACCTTTTTTTCTTTCTATTTTCTTCAATCGAAATTTGAACCGAGTAGATTACATCGAGTAGATTACTAATAATTTGCAAATCGTCAAATCTGCTGCCCATTCACTTTTCATGTAGTTTCTCTCAACAAATTGCTATGACAGCCTTCCCAACATCACAAGCATTTAATGACAACCCGATATGGAAATATGGCAATAATTATAGTTGTTACGTACCAACATATTTATTATTAATTTTTGGCCATTTTTTGAAAACAAGAAAAATAGGATTTCAAACAATTTTTCAAATCTTTTAAAATCATTCACTTTCAACTTTCAAAACTAAGAAACAGACTTTGGCTAGGCATAAATTTAGTTGTAAATTATATTGTGATCGTCGTGAGAAACTCAAATCCGACGCGTTTCACGAAAATCACGCACTGGGAAAAATTTTAGACAATGACTTTTTCTTTTACATAAAGTTGAAATACTCAATTCTAAAATCCCCAAACTTTATTACTCAATTTTACCCGCTTTCTGGTTACCGCACGGCACCGATGGTCAACACGTGCGCGACACTCAAGGCGTACCGAGAGCGCATCCTTCCTAGATGTGCTTTCCCTTTTTTTGTATATGGGGTATTCCATGTGAACTCACCCAGGTCAAAACCCTCACCATCGCCAATCATATTGCCGATTTTTCCTGTGGTTGCATATGGAAAAATATGAATTCTCAAAATTTTTCAGATTTTTTGAGGCATCTTGTGGACAACCATTTTTTTTGAAAATTTATCTTCAAATGCCTGTAACTTCCGTAAAAATCAACCGATTTGAGTTTTTTTTTTACAAAATGTGCGTCTTCAAACACACTTTCCATATAAAAATATGCCAATTTTTTTCAATTCGTTCTTCCATCGATTTCCTCAGAAATAACTCTAAAAACTTCAAAAAACGAGTCGTTTCCAAAGTTGGACCCTTTTTATATTTTTCAACAAATTTCAGTGAATATATTGGAACAAAACAAAATTTTTCACCAAAGGCCAAAGTGGGCTTCCCATTTTGTGGCCGTCATTCCACAATTTGAATAGATGAATCTGGGATCAAAAATTTCAAAAATTTCACAATTCTTTTCGAATTTGAACGCAGAATCATTATTTCAATTTACCGCTTGAAGAATCACTGCATTATATTCGAATCTGGAACAATTTGATTATTTTTTGGAAATTCGTTAACAATAAATCTTCCCGAGTGGTGTGTCCTAATAGAGATCCCACTTTGGCCTTTGGTGAATAATTTTATTTTGGTCCAATATATTTACTGAATTTTTTTGAAAATTATAAAAAGGGTCCAACTTTAAAAACGACTCGTTTTTTTTTTATTTTTTGAGATTTTTCTGTGGACATCGATGGAAGAACGAATTGAAAAAAATTGGTATATTTTTATATGGAATGTGTGTTCGGAGACGCACATTTCGTGAAAAAAACCCAAATCGGTTGATTTTTACGGAAGTTACAGGCATTTGAAGATAAAACTTGCAAAAAAACATAGCTGCCCACAGGAGGCCTCAAAAAATCTGAAAAAATATGAGAAGTCATATTTTTCCATATACAATCACAGAAAAAATCGGCAATATGATTGGCGATGGTGAGGGTTTTGACCTGGGTGAGTTCACATGGAATACCCCATATAGTTTTCGCAATCCCTTTCCTTAAACTCCAGGATTTTCCCATACTTATTTTAACCAATGAAATTTTAGAAATTTTCTCCCACCCTCACTGTTCTGAGGGCAAGTCACTCATTCAGAAACCCAAACACATCAGTCTACTCGTGACAATTCACCGATTCATTTCGCGCTTCAAATCAAACCTTTAAATTTACCTAGCCAAGTCTTGTGTTTAATTGAGTTCAATTCAAGTCATTCTCAGTATAAGTTCCAAGTACTTTTAAGACTAGTGTAATTTAAAGTGTATAAAGTCAATTTTTAGTGAAATTATAGTGATTCTTTAAGTGACTCAACGCATTCATATTCATTTATAAACATTACAAACATTTAAACCCCGTTCGTAAATTCATAACGCACCAAGTGACAATACGGTAGCTTGGTTGTCTTAGTTTCTTCCAAATTTTAGTAAAAATTACAGTGAATACGTGACATTAACAAATGGTCCTTCGAGCCGGATCGGTTTGAATCCAATCCATGAATATTCATTCATTCATAAACAATATGAACATTCAGTGTGTTTTGTGTGGTGAAAACAGTTTAATTCTCTAAATACAAAATGACGAATCCTGACGACACGATAACTGAGGATAATTCAGCGCGGATTGCCGAGCTCAACAGGAAAATATCAACCTGGAAGAGCGTCACTACCGTCGCAAGAAAAAATCTCAAGCTATTCGAAGCCAAAAGGGTTGTAGATGTTCCGGCCGTGGAAGCACGCATGGCAAAGTATGAGGCCAATTTCCGTGATTTTGACGAACTCATGGATGAACTTGATTCACTCGATCCTGAGGGACTCCATCACTCGTTACAAGAGCGATACGTCGTAGAAGGCGATTACCTGGAAACTCTAAGTCAAGCAGAACTCATCAAGGAGAAAAATAATCCTCCACATCAAAACGAGAGGATTACTGAATCACCCGCTAGGAGTAACAACGACTCGACAGTCTCCTCAGCCATCTTGAAATTAGGAAAACTGCCTGATTTGAAAGTGCCTATATTTTATGGGGATGTCGCACAATCCATCTCTTTCAAAACAGACTTTAATAGTATTATTAATAGTCGCCCTGATGAGCCAGAAACACATAAATTGGGTTATCTCAAAGGTAGATTGAAAGGGGATGCTGCGAGGACGATTCAGATGCTCTCAATCACGCCAGAAAAATTACGATCGAGCATGGGAAATCCTGGACAAAGCATATCTCGATAAACGCATAATTGTGTTCAAACACCTTCATCAATTATTAAAAATGCATCAACAAGAAAAAGAGGTCACAGAAGGTTTGACACAATTAGTTGATAATACACGTCAACACGTGGAGTCACTCAGCGGTCTTGGGGTAGATGTCGGCGATCAGCTGATCGTGGCCCTGTTGGAGCTGAAAATCGCCAAGACCACTGCGGAGGCCTGGAACGATAAACAGGAACGTGGGGTGCTCCCGAAACTGGAGAAGCTGTTGTAATTCCTCAACAGACGTGCTTCAAGGCTCCAGTCGCGAAATAAGGAAAAATCTATTCCAGCGGTGGAGACCAGCAGTAAATCACACAGAAAGAAGAATAAACTTCATTCTTTCAATGCCGTCACTGGTAAAAATTGTGAGGTATGTAACGAATCATCTCACCCACTCTTTCGATGCAATCAATTTAAAGAGAAGCCAGTGGATCAACGCATTAAGATCGCAAAGCAATTGGGACTCTGCCTCGACTGCTTGAATAAGCATGAATCAGAGTGCAAATACACCCATTGCAGACAGTGTAAAGAGCCACATAACACTCTTCTGCACTCATCATCATCCACGGGACAGCCTGTCAGCGCCGTGACCGCTCGTCTTCACTCCAGTCAAGTCATGACCACAGCAGTGGTCAATGTACTCAACAAATCCAGTACAGTTGAACAATGTCGAGTTCTCCTAGACACTGGTGCATCGGCGAACTTTGTTACCGAGAGTCTCGGGACAAAATTGACGCTCCCGCGAAAACCGTGTGTCCTACCAGTTGAAACTCTCAGCGAAATTGCAACATACACGAAAGACGTGGCAACTGCCACAATTAAATCAAGGCACAGCGGTTTCCAGAAGGAGTTAAGTTTCTTGACCGTTCCCAGGATTTCTGATCTGATTCCACCATCATTCATTCCACGAGAATCAGCGAAGATTCCTGCAAATATTCGATTGGCGGATCCAGACTTTCATAAGCCAGCCCCAATTGACATGCTGATAGGAACAGGACCAACACTATCATTGCTCTGTACTGGACAAATTGATTTGTCCCCGCCAGGTGGACCGGACCTTTATCTCCATAAAATCCAGATTGGCTGGGTAATTGGTGGAGCAATTCACGTGTCTCAAGACGCCAAAACAGTTCAGTGTCATCATGCAACGCCAGATTTCAACCTGGAGAAATTCTGGGAGGTTGAGGAAGTTTCGAGGCCGAAACAACTTTCACTGGAAGAGCAGCAAGCCGTGGATCATTTCAAGAGACATTACAGTCGTGATTCTACAGGGAAGTACGCAGTGGCTCTTCCATTCAATGCAAAAAAGGATCTCCTAGACAATTCCTACAACATGGCATTCAGACGTTTCCAGAGCTTGGAACGCAAATTTGTCAGGGATCCAGAGCTCTGCATGGCATACTCTGATACTATTGACGAGTACTTGGAGCTCAATTATTTATCAGGGGTACGTGATCCAAGCAATACAGGATTTTACTTGACCCATCATGCCGTCGTAAAAAAGGACAGTGTGAAAACCAAGGTGAGAGTAGTCTACGCTGGCTCTGCTAAAACCACCACAGACATTTCATTGAATGAAACACCGTTGGTTGGCCCTAAGCTGCAGCAAGACATCTTCTGGCAGGTACTCCACGTCCGCACGCATCTGTACACATTAACAGGTGACATTGGAAAAATGTTCCTGCAGTTCGGAGTACGCAAGGAAGATCGTCGCTATCAGCGTATTCAGTGGAGGAACAGCCATGGCAAAGTGGCTATTTATGAGCTAAACAATGTGACATTTAGATTGTCCTCTTCACCTTATCAGGCAGTCCAATGTCTCCAGCAATTAGGAGAGGATGAAGCCCATCACTTTCTAGTGGCCGCACGTATATTGAAACTAAACATGTACGTGGAAGATCTGCTATGCGGTTTCAATTCGATCCGTGAGGCTAAGCAGGTTCGTGAAGAAATCACTCAATTATTGGCCCGGGGTGGACTCAATATCAAGCACTGGGCTTCCAATCATCCCAGGTTGCTACAAGGCTTACCTCCCGACTCCATTCATCAAAAGCTACAGTTAAACGATGGATCGACGCTCAAGACACTGGGAGTGTATTGGGACGCACAGTCAGATTCCATCTCATACACAGTCCAGCCAGTACCTGTCGTGGAACGAGTGACAAAAAGGATTGTCATGTCGGAAATCGCAAAAATCTACGACCCATTGGGTCTGCTGGGTCCAGTTGTGCCATCTGTAAAAACGATCATCCAGAAACTCTGGAATGCCAAGGTTGACTGGAATTAGTCTGTTCCTGAGCACATTCACACGGAATGGACGAAACTCTGTTCCCAGCTACCTTTGCTAAATGACGTACATTTCCCACGCAAGATCTGTCAGGAGAATGACAAAAAACTGCAGATTCATGGATTCAGTGATGCCAGCACCACTGGATATGGTGCCTGTATTTATGTTCGCTCGATCGATATCCAGGGAAACGTACAGTGCAGATTATTTTGTGCCAAATCAAAAGTTGCACCAGTCAAGTACGTCTCGGTAGCTCGCCTGGAGTTATGCGGAGCCTTGCTGTTATCCAGGCTGTATCAAAGCATCAAGGATACCATCAACATTCCCATCGAGAAAATCATTTTCTGGAGTGATTCAATGATTACTCTGCACTGGATTAGCAAATCTTCAAATTTATTAAAAACATTCGTGGCTAATCGAGTGGCAGAGATTCAATCCAGCACTGGAGGAGGCGAGTGGAGACACTTTCCAGGGAAATCCAATCCAGCTGCTACCCTCTCAAGAGGCCAGATGCTAGCAGATTGTATCACCAATGAGCTTTGGAAGGTTGGTGCCCAATGGCTGTCAGGGCCAGAAGTCAAGTGGCCCACATCCAAGCTCACTGAGCCAACTGAAGGTCCAGAGGCCAAGCGAGTGACCTGCATGAGTGCTACCATCAATGATTTCACCCTACTGGAGAGGTATCAGTCAATCCACAAACTGAAGAGGGTTATTGCTTACCTGCTCAGATTCAAGATAAGCAATAGAAAATTCAAAGGCCGAATTCAATTGGATGAGGCTCGTGCAGAAGAAGGCGTTTCCCAGTGAATTACGCCAGCTCAGTGAGAAGAAAAAAGTTGATTGTAAAAGCAAATTATCAAAGCTCAATCCATTTCTGGACTCTCATGGCATCATTCGAGTTGGAGGAAGACCTCAGGCAGCAGACATCCCCTACAGCCAGAATCATCCAGTCGTTTTGCCAAAGAAGGAGTTCGTCAGTGAACTCATCATCAGGGACAGGCACAGAGAGCAGGCACATGCTGGTGCACAAGCCACGTTGTACGCAATCAGATGTCAATACTGGTTGCTGGATGGATGGAACGAAGTCCGTCGACTCATTCAGAATTGCGTAACGTGTACTAAGGCAAGTCCACCTGCAGTGGACTACATTATGGGAGATCTACCACAGATACGTATCACCAAGGCCAGACCGTTTCTCAACGTCAGGGTGGACTACTATGGGCCATTTATGATAAAAGAGAAGAAACATCGCAATAGAGGTCAAGTCAAGGCATATGTGGCAGTCTTCATTTGCCTGGTGTCAAAGGCAGTGCATTTGGAGATGGTCAGCGACATGACAACTTCAGGATTCCTCGCAGCTCTTCGTCGCTTCATTGCCAGAAGAGGCAGGTGCCAGCTGATCCAGTCAGACAATGGCACCAACTTTGTTGGTGCAAGGAATGAGCTTAAGCAGCTACTGGACACACTCAAGTCAGGGGATCACAATTCCGAGGTGTCCACGTATCTGAACGAGAAGGGTATCAAATGGCGCTTCATCCCCCCAGCATCCCCGCACTTTGGTGGGATCTGGGAGGCTACTGTTCGCTCATTCAAACATTATCTCATAAGAGTGGTCGGGAACAAACTGTTCACCTTTGAGGAACTAGATACATTGGTGACAGAAATTGAGGCGATTCTCAATTCTCGTCCTCTTACACCTGTGTCCCCAGACCCCAATGACCTATTGGTACTAACACCAGGTCACCTGCTCATTGGGCAACCGCTCACCGCAATTCCAGAGCATGACTTCTTAGACGTGCCAATCAATCGACTCTCCAACTTGGAGCACATACAGAAGGCACGTCAAGACTTCTGGGAGAGGTGGTATAAAGAGTACCTCCACGAGCTCACGATCAGGCGCAAATGGAGCGCAGGACAACACCAGATCTAGGAAGGTTCCTTGGTCCTCCTCAGAGATAACAACCTCAAGCCCATGCATTGGAAGCTGGGTAGAGTTATCGCAGTCCATCCAGGAGCAGATGCAGTCATCAGAGTCGCTTCAATGAAAACTGAAAGCGGTATCGTAAAACGCAGCGTGAAGTAGCTGGCCCCATTGCCAGTCACAGCAGAAGATATGGACAATTAGTAAAAAACAATTACTTTTAAATTCAGTTTTTGCTTAGTGTTCAGATCCATCTGGGGGAGAGTTGTAATATTGTAAGTTAGTTCATTTCAATCTATTCATTTAGAAGTGACTGTTTCTTGATCGCATAGTCTCTCAACCCCCCCAGGATGTTGCGTACCAACATATTTATTTTTAATTTTTTGCTATTTTTTGAAAACAAAAAAATAGAATTTCAAACAATTTTTCAAATTTTTTGAAATCATTCACTTTCGACTTTCAAAACTAATAAACAGACTTTGGCTAGGCATAAATTTAGTTGTAAATTATATTGTGACCGTCGTGAGAAACTCAAATCCGACGCGTTTCACGAAAAACACGCACTGGGGAAAATTTGAGAGAATAACTTTTTCTTTTACATAGAGTTGAAATACTCAATTCTAAAATCTCCAAACTTTATTACTCAATTTTATCCGCTTTCTTGTTACCGGACGGCACCGGTGGTCAACACGTGCGGGACACTCAGGGCGTACCGAGAGCGCATCCTTCCTAGATGCGCTTCCCTTTTTTTATATATACTTTTGCTATTCCTTTCCTTAAACTCCAAGATTTTCCCACACTTATTAATACCAACGAAATTTTAGAAATTTTCTCCCACCCTCACTGTTCTGAGGGCAAGTCACTCATTGAGAAACCCAAACACTTCAGTTTACTCGTGACAATTCACCGATTCATTTCACGCTTCAAATCAAAACTTTAAATCGACCTAGCCAAGTCTTGTGTTCAATTGAGTTCAACGCAAGTCATTCTCAGTATAAGTTCCAAGTACTTTTAAGACTAGTGTAATTTAAAGTGTATAACGTCAATTTTTAGTGAAATTATAGTGATTGTGTAAGTGACTCAACGCATTCATATTCATTTATAAACATTACAAACATTTATATCCCATTCATAAATTCATAACGCACCAAGTGAAAATACAATAGCTTGGTTATCTTAGTTTCTTCCAAATTTTAGTAAAAATTACAGTGAAGACATGACAATAGTAATTACTCAAGAGTGGGATTCCAAGTAAACATGTCTAATAATGGTAGAGTTCATAGCATTTATTTTTTTGCATATATTATGATTTTAGTATAATTTTCTGAATCATCAATGTTCTACATAGGTAATATTAGGGATTGTAATTCATACAGAAATAGTATTCATCAAAAAATACGGCAAACAAAGATTTTTTGCACCATGAGCACCGAACTATAGTGACATTGCAACAGCTCTTAATGTCACAGTAGGGATGAGAAGATTGCCCGAAGATAAAATCAACGGGATTCTCAAACTCTTCTGGTTTTCTAACAATATAACCACCTTTAAACCAAGCATAATGAAATAAATTTTGATATCTTTTGTAACTATTTTATATTATTCCTTAAATGTAAATTAATATCATGAGCAAGGAGGACAACGGTATCCGAAAAATGACGGAGATAATTTTTCCATATTCTAAAACCGAACACATCGAGGGGTTGAATCTTTTCAGTGGTACCCTTCGGTATCAACATAATTAATAACTCTTTATTTGGAGGTGTTGCTTCTCATATCGCTTCAGCGTAGTGACCACTCCATGAATCTATCAGGAGTAGACTTTTAGGTCCAACGTTCGGGAAAAATACTTCCTTCAACCATGTTGTAAAATAATTGAGAACATTTTAATGATCGTGATTAATGTGTAGAGAATATCAGGTGGTCTTGTGTCTTGAACATTATTGTTCCTGAAGTGAGTTTTCCCGATTTTAAAGCAGTAACAAAAACATTAGATGGTCTGAAAAGATTCTGCTCCACGATAGGGCCAAAAGTTCCAGAAGGTTCTTTCAAAACCAGGACGAGGGGTGACAGTAATTTGCCATCAGCAGAAATTGTGGGTTATATTGTAAAACTATGTGTTGTCGAGGTTACCGATTGTACTAGACATGCCACTTGTTTTGCGCCTTCTTCAGCTAAAGTACGTCCTGGATGAATTTCCAATTGAAAACCACTCTGATCCGAATTATAGATGTTTTCCGGTCCATGAGTGACAAAATAAGGCTGAACTTTTTGAAGAAATTCGTCTGATTCTTTGTGTAGAGTTTTTCGATTTTCTAATGTTTTGCGTGTGACGAATTTGTTAATTTTCCGAGATGTGATACGATGTGCTTTCTTGAAATTATATAACCACCATGGGGAAGCCGTGAAACGAATGTTTTCCAATCTTATGTTTTTCCGAGCTTGCGGAGCCCACCTGCATAGGTCGGTGTCGTGAACAATCAATCCCGCATCAATTGCGTTTTTCATATTATTCAATGTATACTCCGAAATACGCTTCAACTTCTCCCTATATGTCCCTCCTTGTTGATTTGGTGTGCCCAACGACGTAACTGTCGACTGGATTTCACTTTTTTGAATCGATTCGACACTTTTTTCACGGAAAGATTTTGTTGCGTCTTTGCACTTCTCCAGAATTCTACTGCTCTCCGCTTATGGTCAAAATCTACAGGTTTCTCATCTTCCGAACAACTTTCAGATGATTCTTTATTATGTGGTTGAAATTCTTTATCTTCAATCGCTATCACTTCTAGATCTTTCTAAGGCGCTTGAAAATTCAGGGATGCTTCTTCAATCATTTCCACACTATTGTATTCTTCCATGGATCGAAGCAAAATCGTTTGGAAAGTATCCACTAATTCGCGTTCCGCATTGTTCACGGGCGTTGTAGCAAGATTAACAACTTCAAATGTTGCCATGAGAAGTCTGACGATGTTGATTGGATTAATTTTCATCATGAAATGATCACGAAACACAGCACTCACTGATAATCAGTTTTTCTCGACAGATATTGGTAGACTGATCGTGAATTGCATGAAAGTTGGAAGCCAAAAATACATATTTATCCCCGTGATTTTATATTTAAACAACAGGAGTCACATTCGAATCGATATTTTTATTCTAGCGCATACGATCTCGCTGCGGTCCTGCATATAAACATATAAACATCGATGTAGTAAGACCACTTCAATTGTATGTTATTTTTAATTTCTTATACTCTACACAATTTTCGACTGTTCCATGACCACTGGCCAAATTTATCCATTTCCAGTACTACCCCCTCGCACTGCCTCAGCAGAACGTTTAAGAATACGCATTTCATTCTCGAAAATGCAAACGATGGATTTTTCTTTTGCCTCCATATTCAGATTCCAAAAACAAAGAAATTAACGAAGAAGGTACTTTGTATTTTTCTTATCCTGTTGCGAATAGTGATTTTAAATATAAAATTTTGGATTATATTTTTTTTCCACTTGAACAATGATTTTTTAGGAGCGGGTAGTGGGCCCCCACCTTCAACACCCCCGGGGATGAATTTCATTGTTAATCTTATCAGTTCTCACGAGCTTTGTATTACACTACGAAAAATTTCAAAATTGAAAAATTACAAGAAATTAATTTTTTCGCCGTTAAATTTCAATCTGTAACAGAAATGCAAAAAAAAATATTCTGTCTTTTTGAATGCTCTTTCGAATGGAATTGGTCCCATGAAATTCCGAGCAGTAGTTTTTGTTCAGTTGGAAAAATGATTTTTCGCGGGGGTAGTTCACCCTCTAAATTTCAACCCCTGGGGATGATTTTGATTCACATATTTATCATTCACCATAAGCTTCCTCTTACATAGCAAAATATTTGTCTGAGTACTCTATTTATATACGCAAACGACAAAATACCCCAAGAAGTGGCCAACTTCAGAGGAGTTTTGCCCCCAAAATCCACGTATTAGCCGATAATAAAAATACGTGTCCCTTAGTTTTGACTCCTCTATAACTTATATAACGTTCATCAAAACCCGAGGTGTGCACCGACCTAGGGTTCCTTGTGAGTAACAACAGTATCGATGGCCAACTGTGTCCACGGGCACTCCAAAGGCCTGGTCCCTAAAAGTTGTTTCATCGGGTTCTGATTATATTTGACTCTCAGGTTAGTTTCGCATGTCTCTACATATTCTTTAACACCTTGTGTCATGTCGGCCAATAGTAATTTGGTCTGTCTCTATCAAGGGTTTTGTCTCTCCCTAAATGTTCAGCGTGGGAAAAGTAATAATTTTCATGTAAGAAAGCTTCAATATCACTAGATTGAGCAACGTTTTCACATGGATTCTCGTCATGAATGAGGGCCCTTTCGTAATCGGATCGGTAATAGAAGAGTTCGTCATTGTCGATTTTCCACTCGGGAAATCTGTCTGGTTGGGATTTATCCAAGCTGAACTTGGTGTGATACCAGTCTTGTCCATGAATTGAATTCAATTGGGGTCTATTTTGAATTGTCTCTTCAATCCCCTTTTTCCAGCCAAGCGGGTCAACGTTAGCGTCAAACATTCTGGACAGTACATCAGCGGCTTCACGCATTGCTCCACGGCGATGTTCGATAAAAATGTCATATTAATAAAGATATATGGCCCATCTAGCTAACCGACCAGTTGGCTTTTTAGTCCATGTAACCACAAGAGAGCTTGGTGGTCTGTGACAACCTTGAACGGAACTCCCTCAAAAAAGCAACGTAGTTTTTCTGTCGACCAGATGACCGCCATATACTCTTTCTCAGTGGTATAATAGTGAAGCTCAGCACCTCTGAAAGGGCGACTCAAAACTTCAATAAGATTCTCTATGCCAGTATCTGGTTCATGTTGGACGAGAATTGCACCTATTCCGACATCCAAAGCGTCAGTATACAAGACGAATGGTTGACCTGGTATTGGCATGAAAAGTCGTGGCGCGTTAGGTAAGGCTTCTTTTACTTCGTCAAGT